AATAACGGAGGAGAGAGGCCAGAGCGACACGAGGAGTTCACTATTGTTCAATCTCGGGGGCCTACTGCGCAAATTCTACAAGGTTTGAAGATAGGTCCCTCTAGGCGCTTACTCTTAATAGCCAGGAACAGCACTCATACGGCACAGCGCCGTTATTTACCCCAATTACCGTGCGGACTTCGCGGCGGCCTGATCCTGTTGCTGTCGGAGCGGCTCGATCCGGCAGGGGTCCGAATTCGGCAGTACCCTACTTTGCGACTGATGCAGGCCCGTTAGCCAGGGCGCGGTTCGGGCGGATTTCGTCGAAGCGATAGAGCGGGCCCGCCGTCCCGCCCCCCGTCCGCCCCATCCCCGACCCCCCCCCCCCCCCCCGCCCCAGCAAGAAAAGCTCCACTGTTTAGTGTAATACTTCGCAAAATCTCCATCGTGCGGGAGAGGGTTGAACAGTAAAACCAGCCTCCCACACCCTCCCTCGCTCGAGTGCGCTTGGCTCTCTCGCCTGGGCGCTTCGGCGCGCGAGGCCAGGGGCGCGTCGTACAGGGGCGGGGGGGGGGCGCTGGCGGGGGCCAAGGCGGTCCGCCAGGGATCGGTCACCCCCCTCTGTCTACGCGGCGAGAAACGCAGTCTGAGGCGGTGGGTCTAATTTGAAAAACAATTTGCTCGCAAACACGACCCCCTTTCCGGTGCTCGCAACTGAGGTGGGATGCGCGTGTGGTGCAACGGCAGAGCCGGTCAGGTCACCGCCGTAGCCGTCTACCCAGGTACGTCTCGTTTTTTGGTTTTCCGGCAGATAACCTGGACGTGGCTACGATGTAGACCCTATCTGAGGCGTTATTTTATGGACGTATATTTTGAATAGTTCTTTTATATTCTTTAGATTTAGTTATGCCACCTTTAGTTGCTTAGTCCTTTTTAATTAATAAATAAGTTGCTGTATTCTTTATGGTAATCATCTAGCAGCTTGTTTTTTAATAGGCAAAACTGTTTGCAGCAAAATGAAGGTAAACTAAAGATAAAAGCTAGTCGGGTGTGTTATAGTGTTTAAGAATAGTCATACAGGCACACTGTCTTTTTTGGTGACTCATTACCAGTTGGCGAAAATGGAATATTGTTCTCTGTACCGCCCTGAAAAGATTCAGCTATTTCATATTCTTTATTCCTATTTACATGGTGTTCATATTGATCGCAATGTGATATATACTTCACTATATTGACAGGAGTGTACATAGACATGTACATTGAAAAGGTGGTTATTTCCGGTTCTCTTTCTTCCATTTAAAACTTTGAAATTTTCACGTACGATGGCCACCAAGTCGTCCATTTTCAAGGTCAGAATTTTGAAGAAATACTCCTGCTGTGGGAGGGGATCCCTTTCCCACATGCCCACCCCCGCTGCGGGTTGCGGCCCTGGCGTGCCGAACATGGTTTTTTCCCAAACGGTATAGATCATAGCCGAAGAGTTCGACGCGACTCTGCTGAGTGGTTCTCATTGGTTCATCCTGCTCCGTGATTTGGTTCAACGAACAGCGCGTGGTTGTGGCTTAACGCAGGTCTGGTCGGGCGCGCGCAGCCGAGCGCTAATTACAGGTTACGTCGATGCCTGTGGTCCGCCCTGGGCATGCACCTGTTTCCTACAGTATTCCTCTGTGCGCGATGCGTATGGATAGGCGGATCCGGCGTTACTCTGAAACAGGTCGGTTGGCTTTTCGATATATACCTGGGTTTAGGTTTTTCCAAATGCCTGATGAACCTTTTGTCTGTTTGTGCGTATTTGATTCCTGGGATGCTCTGATGGCTCATCTCAGTGAGATCCTAAACCTTCGTTTTCGTCATTTAACCGAACATACTCGTTTGCCATGATTGATTTCAAGCAATTAAAATATTCTTAATGAATTAAATTTTTTTGTAGTCGTTAATGTAATTTCACTTCACTCTTATTAGTGTTAATTAAATTTACGTAGGGCCTGTTAGGTGTGCTACTTGTGTCGCGTTAGGCGTTCGTAGGATGTTACGGGTGCAGGTGTTAGGTTAGGTGACATGCGTCTAGGGAGTCTAGGCAGGCACTTCTGGACTTCCCGGTAGGACGTCTTTAGGTGGGTTAAGTCGGGTGACTTGTACTTCGCACAAATTAAAACTGTATTCTGTTTTGGGGGGGCGCGCTAAAGAAAAATCTCTTTTGACCCTCCTATTGCGTTGTCTATATCTACTGGTGCGATCGTCGGTGTGCTGCTGTGCTCGGAGCGATTAGCGTCCAATGCTGCGAGAGAATCCTCAAGCACGCAATTATCTTGTGCGCCTTGGCATTCTATCAGAGTTTCCTCCGTTGCCGCATATGTCTGCGTATACGTTGTGGCACGTGACCAACGAGGAGAGAGTCTATCTCGCCGACTCCTGCGGACCTCTCCCTCTCGGGCGGCAACCATCGTCCTGTGATCCCTGCGCTTTTCATACGCCTGAGTGGGCGCGACGCGGTTTCTCCGGGTCTGCGCGCTAATGTAATGTCTTGCGCACTCCCGCCGCCGCATGCGGTCCCTTCATTCTCTAAACGTCTCCGGCCGCCTTTAGAAAAACGCGGTATGCGGCGCCCCCCCTGACCAGCTAAACATATGTGTCTTATGATTTATTTCTAAACTTTCTTTAGTACGCCGGTTCTGTTTCACTCCCGTGTATACGTTACTGACTTACGTGATTCCCGTGTGCTACCTATCGTCCGAGCGTGCTAGATTTTGAGTACGGCAGCCGCCGTCGCACTCTGAAGCGCCCCTCATTTTTTGAACGGGACGATCAAACTTCTACAAGCGTGCATGCTGCCCTATGTCAGATATAAACGACTAAAGTATAGAATATTTTGGTTATATTCCAGTTTTCGGCGTTCAGAAGCATTGTTAAACACTGCGCTACAAGAGGTTGCGGCACTGGCGACTAGAGATATGGTCAGATGCTCGTGTGCGTGTGCCCGGGTGGCCACGTTTTCGGCGCTGTGGGCGCGCTACGTCAGATCGTAATCAATGGTCGAAGTCTGGTTGTTGGGTCGTGGTCTGGAGAAAGGCACAGACGTGGCTGTTGTCAGCAAGATGAGTCGACTTCATGATGCGAATTTAACGAAGAAGCACGTCGAAGACGAAAGGAGAGAAGTGTTGTGGCGCATCAGATATTGATACACTTGCCATTGTTTCCCAGATCCCAGTAATAATAAGGGCCGCAGGAAATATGACAGTTTCACGTATGCGTTCGAAAGCCTAGGGGAGCTGTTCTGCTATGGTAAACAATTGACAAACTGTATAGGATCTCCTGGATAATGATAAGTTGATTAGGAGAAACGGTCGTAGTAGGCTACACCCTGAACAGCAGAGGCAAAAGTTCGAAAGGCGTTTTTGAAGTCACTAGTTGGTCGAACTGTACAAAATTTATTTTTCTTATAGGGTTTATATGTGTGTTTCGGCGGTTATGGTTATGGGCGGTCACAGACTGCACTGTAAAACAGGAGTGTTGAGGTCCCGCTCACGGACGGCTGACGACGACGTGTGGACCTTAGCGGACGAAACCCAGCTTTCAAGGATTTGTGGTTGCGGCATCGAACAATTAAGAACTAAGAGTGCCAATCGCACAGCAGCTTGTGATTTGGAATGCGCCTCAATAAAACTAAGCTTATGCAACACGAAATGTATTTACTACCTAAGTCGTAATGTTCTTCAACTCTATGCGGCCTATTATTGTTTTTGATAATACCAGTATAAATGCTTTTTCAAATGGGCTCATTTTTTTACACCCCACGCCTCTATATTCATGAATAACGGAGACCGCAGTGGTAGACGAAGCTGGGGTGATCGCAAATTTGGCGACGCGTTGCTTATTTCACACGCTGTCACAGCGACGAATTACACATCACCACCACCTTCCAGTCTTGTATCTATGTGGGTAGCTAACGAATGTTTCAGTTGTTGACATTTTGTAATACGTTCTTTTTCCGCGTTACTTACTCCCCCCAGAGACTAGCCTCGGGGAGAAATCCTGCGAGGGAACATTTCCTCTTTCGCCGAAGAATGTACCAAACGGCAGGATTGCAATCATCGAAATGCTAACGCAGCTACTTTCGAACGCGTATCACCAAGGGGTTAGACACACTACCATTTTTAGGTTCATTGTCCAACAGGACTTATTAAAGCGGGAAAATCTATGAGGCCTTCAAGATTCTACTAGTCCTGCCGAAGACTGCTTACGCTAGGCGCAGTAGCCGGACGAGCATGTGATTTGCAGTGCGGTACGATGTGGTAGGAGGGTCGGGAGCCCCCCTTTGCTACGGGGGTAACATGGAGGTCTCGTCCCCAGGGGGTTTTTGGTACAAGGGGTGTCCCCAGAAAGGTTTTGTTAAAAGACATCTTCAATTGTATAACATACATCTAACTTGATGATGGCATCATAAAATCTTAAATTTAAATTAAATGAAAATTCT